AAAAATCACAAATGAAAAGGTTCTGAAATTGGAAATTTTTGTTACACTAGAAGGTTTAAGTTTCTGTTGCCAGCACAGTAAAAACTCAGGAATTATTTTAGGAGGCCTGAAGAGTCTATTGGAAAGACACCCTCACCCATCTTAGGCCTGTGAGGAAAAATTGTTTAGAGTAGCACTTCTCAAACTTTACCTTTGTTACAATTTCCTGGAGGATTTGTTATAAGGGATTTTGGGTCCTCCCCCCAGGGTTTCTGACTCAGGAGTTCTGGTTGGGATCAAAGAAGTCCCATTTCTAACAAATTTCCAGGTCACTGAAGCTACTTATTTGGGAACCACTGGCCTAGAGCAAGTGACATTTCAACTGAGACCTGGGGAATAAGTAGGATGTAGCTGAACTTTGCATTTGTATTGGTGGTTTGGGAGGGCGTGAGGAAGTGGGACTCAGAGAGAGGGTACAGGCGTATAGTACAGAGGGACTTGCTGAACCTGTAAAAAGGAGAAAGTGGTGCTCAGGTGAAAAGGACCTAATTTTTAGAGGCATTTTACCATAGGATAGAGGAACTTCTGTGGACTGTGCAGAGTGAAGGCGGGCAAGACCAGTCAGCAGACTGGTTAGTAAACTATTATAAGAATAAGTTGGTGGGCAGGAGTAGGTAGTAATAGTGTGGATGGAGAAAAATAGGAGGATTTGAAAGATATTTAAGACATAGAAATTAAATTTAGATGATTCATTTGATTGCTGGAATGTGGGTGAGGGAAAAATATCAAAGTTCATTCCCAGGTTTCTGCATTGTGCAGTCAGTGGTACTCTGATGAGATGGGTAACACAGCAAAATGGGTCAGAGGTGGGCAAAGTCGAAGAAGGGGTGATTTTACTTGGGACCTGTTTATGTCCAATAGGCATACAGATCCTGGGTTCAGGAGATTGATCTGAACTGAAGACATAGATTTTGGACTTGCTAGCAGGTAGATAACAACTGAAACAGGGGAGCAGGTGGAATTGCTTGGGTATGGTATATAGAACAAGAATAGAAATGGTGACATTTAGGAGATCTTTGAAAAAGACTGCCACTTAAAAGGAAGACTATGGAAGAGGACTCTACAATCAAAATCAAAAGGAAGCTGACAGAAAAGGAGGAAGAACTTCAAGTTACCCAGACCAAGGGCTTCAGCTGTGTCCAAAACTGGAGAGACATCAGGTAAAATAGGAGTGAACAATATCAATTGGAAGAAGGCAATTGATAACCTAAGTACAAGTCCTTACAGTGGGGTAATATAAGTTCAAACCAGAAATGTGTGGGAAGTAAGAAAGTGAAGGCAGGTAAATATAGTGACAGGCAATTCCTAGATTATCCTTTTTCTTCATCGTTTCAGCATGATTTCCATAAATTTATGTATTATTAATAACAAGAAGTGAAAGTATACTTTAAATATGCCTTTTTATATTAAGTTCTGGATATTTCTGGGAGTGTCATAAACTAACAAAAGCTCATTTTTTTAGAGATATAGCAGAATTTCCTCATTTTTTAAGGCAGTGCTAGAAAATCCATCTTATTTTACAAAAACCAATATTCTGAAATGCTTAGATCTAAATACAGACTTACATTATGTTTTTATTATTTAAAAGCCAGTAAAAATCAATAATGAGAGACTCAGGAGGGCTTTGTTTTGGTTTTTCCTCTCTAAATGAGATTATGGGATTTCTGGCAACTTTGAATTCTCAGTATGTGTAATAAATATCCCAAGGGTCATTGAAAAAAACCAAAACACAAGCTTTCTGATAATCTAGAAATGCGATTTCTTGACTAAAAGATTATCAAATTCACATCACAGATTTCCTCTGCAATCAAACTTCATCTGATTAGAAGTATTTTAAAGGAGATAGTTATTTAATGAATCCACTATTAGCTCTCTGAGGTTTAGAGGTTCAAAGATTGTGAGAGTCTTCAAGCATCAGAAAATGAATGGTTTTCTAAATCTCTGCCATGGAAATAAAGTATAGAAAATAACTTTTTCTATAAAACTGTATTTTTCAACCTGATGGAAACTCCTTGCAATAATTTGAAAACTCCCTGTGAGTTCCTAGATGTTGGGACAATCTTCAACCTGCCAAGTAATTCTACCCACCATCCACCAAAGCTAGCTTACATTTCTCTGCTTTGTACTTTTTGTAATTCTTTCCTTCACTAGAATACCTATATCACTAGAATACCAAGATCCCTATATCTTGTCCATTTCTTCCATTTCCATGCATTGATCTCCATCAAGCCTCAGTTCAAATACCTCATATTCTAGGTTAGTAGACTTAGTCACTACATATAATGAATAACTTTTGTGTGCTATTTTATATGGTATCAATTTAAAACTTATGTATAGTTAGGTTGTCAGCTCCTAGAAAGCAATCGTATCATTTGTCTTCCATGTTGCCTAGCATGACACCTCACGCATGTTTGTTATCCTTTGTATATTATAACTATATTCTAATTAAGAGTAAAAACTAGAATTTGTAATAATTTTCTTTCTTCCTTGGCTAAAATACAGAATACCTAAAAGAAAAAAGTGGGTCAAGTTTTCTCTTTTGACAGCCTATTCATTCTCAATTTAAAATTTATTCAGGTAGCCAGAAACAATTATATCTACATAGTAACTCCAAATTTCTCCTACAGAAAATAGTATTGGAACTGGAAAGCTCTTAATTTTTCAAAAATTTATGTCACTTCTAATATAGAGATTGAGTCTTTTGATCTACTAATTATAATAAAAGACCTCATATTCAAAATACTCAACATTAATAATTGGTTAGTTCACTGATAAAGTTGTTTAAAGCAGAAAGGCATTAAAGAAATGTATAGATAGCTGTAATTACAGCACACAAACAATCATTCACTAGGCTTTTAAAAAAGTAAGTCCTCTTCTTTGACTATGGGTCTGATATTCAAAGTTTATTCTCTTTCTAGCATAAATCACTAAAATACATTATCTATTATGCTGTGTTTTGGTACATACACTGTGGTCACAATGTTGGTTCTTTTAATAGGATTAGGAACCTAAAGATTTTTTTCACATAGTTTACTGACTACCCTTGCATGTTAAAGTTACCTCACTTACTGCTAAGTTAACATTGCATTTTAATGTTTTATTTTAGAGTCTTTCTGAAGCATTCCAGGTAGATTTTAATAGAAAGAAGTATGATTTTGTTTTGCAACCATGTATAATTATTTTATTTAATATTTAATTAAATTCTATAATGTGATCATGGTGGGTATAATTTAGGGACAAATACAAGTGATTCATAGTAAATAGCAATTTAGCTGGTTGAAGAAGTGCTTGAGGCACGCTACACACTAGTGCATAAGGGTGTGTTAGCTGCTAGTGCCAGTGATCAACATGGCTGGGCAGCTTGTAACACATAGAACAGAAGGAATGGAGAATAACTGCTAACCTGGTGAACACAAATGTAAAGTAGTTAAGAGAGCCATTGTACCCCTGATTTGGTACTGTTTTATTTTTACATCGTTCACAGAAAAATTAAGGGTAAGTATTTTATTCACAATTCAATAAATTTACCCTCTGTGTTAGTTAAAGGACTGTGAGATTAAAGAAACTGGGGGAGGAGGAAAGATAAATAAGAATCTTTTGCAAAATGACTTTCTTTACTGGATGTCTTGTGTTAATTCACAGAGAGCTACCAAAGGCCAATATATAGAGGAAAATATAGCATAATATATCTAAGCTATTTCATGTAGGTATATTTGCTTCAACTCTAGATTTATAGTGATTTTATGAAGATTTCATATAGTTTTAAAGCTATTAAAATTATGAAGTGGAAAGGAAATAGAAAGTTAGGCAAATGACTTATGGAAATTAATTATAGATACTCTGAAAATATCATTAGTGAATGGTGGTTTATGTTGAATCACATTTTTGTGATACAATATCAAAAGGGGATGGGAAGTTAAAAATTAGCTGAGAATATTCTAGAGATGAAATTGAAGAATGGATGGCTACAGGATCTGTGTAGTAAGGTTGCATTTTGTCTTTGCACAATATTTAGAGGTAGATTAGTTCTTAGATATCTTTCAATCCAGTAGCTCTCAACCCTGGGTACTTGAATCATATATATAGAAAAAAACTCCAAAATTTTTAAAACTCACATTTCTTTCTTTCTTTTTTTTTTTTTTTTTTGCAGTACTGGGGCTTGAACTCAGGGCCTTCACCTTGAGCCACTCTGCCAGCCCTTTTTTGTGATGGGTATTTTCAAGATAGGGTTTTGCAAACTATTTGCCTAGGTTGGCTTCGAATCTCAATCTTCCTGAACTCTACCTCCTGAATAGCTAGGATTACAGACATCAGCCACTGGCACCCAGCAAAATCACATTTCTTAATAGATTATCCCAATCTACCTCTTAATGAAATGACCTTATTCCCTTGGGCTGGTATTTAAATATCCCTCAAATATCCCTTGTTTTTATAATATTTCATTATTGTTTTTGGTGATATGACAAAATGACTATGAAGGGTAGTCACATGAAATGATGTCCAAAAATGCCTTTAATAAAAGTGTGTTATAAAAATAAATAACTCATCCAAGGAAATTTTTGACTGAGTATAATAATGGAAAATCTAACTAGGTATTTTTGGAACTACTTTTGATAACCCAGAAACCCTATTTATCTGAGCAATGCTTACCTATAGTTCTTTCTAAAGTCTTAAGAATTTTTCTTGAAATACTGAGACATGCTCAAAGAAATTCAGTCATATACGAATCACCTGGACCAATGACCTCTAATGCAGGATATTTATTTTGCTGTTGGTAGATAAACTAAAATGAAATTAAATAAAAATATGAACAATGGTGTTGCTGAGTTTTCTCATGTTAAAACTCTGCATAAATAAATTTTGGTTGGGTTTAAGTTTCACCTAGAAAAAATGAAATATTTTAGAGTTTTACTTTCTCAGTGTTAGGTTTGACTTCATGTTTTGATCTTCTTTGTTTCCAGGGTTTTGAAGGTGTTTCTTTCACGAACAGCACAGCGAATTCCATACATGACTGGTGGCCGGGTCATGAGGATGCTTGCAGTAATACTTTTGGTAGTGTTTTGGTTTCTCATTGGCTGGACTTCATCTGTGTGCCAGAATTTGGAGAGGCAGATTTCACTTATTGGCCAGGGGCAAACATCTGATCACCTCATCTTCAATATGTGCCTCGTTGACCGATGGGATTACATGACAGCAGTTGGTATGTGGTCACTTGTTTTGTGTGATTGTTTTGCTTTTTTTTTTCCAGTAGCATTAAAATTGGCTTCTATTAAAGCCTTGCCAAATCCCTTGATAAAGTCTAAAATAATTTTGCCTAATATAATTTTGATAAAACAACATTATGGAAGTGATGATAATGAAAAATGGTATGCAAGCTTTTTCTGGAAATTTCCATTCTTTTTTAAAGGTATGTAGCTTTGTTGGAAAAAATGCAATCAGTTATCAAGTAAACCAGAAAAAAGAAATGTGATGAATAAAGGCAACTTCTGTGTACAAAGAGATCATCACTTGGTCTCCAATAGATTAACAGTACTCATTATATTGATATGTTTGAAAAAAACATATTAGTGGGTTTTTTTTGTACTTGTGGTCCTCTGACACTGATCAGACTTGATATGTAGGGCATCCTGTGAAGAGATTGCCTTTATAAAATTTCTGATTAATTTGTCTTTGCTATACTTATCACTAAAGAAAACTTGTCAGTAATTCTCTGCCAGTTCACTCTTACATAAAGATCAAGCCACAGTACTTGGAGCTGGCAAGAGTTATTTGGTAGAGAAACTGGAGAACTTAGAGGAACCTTGTCATGACTTTGACCAAAACCACAGAATGCTTTTCTGGCCTACTCAGTTTTTGAAAAATAAGGTAGGGAAATCCACAGACACTTCTAATAATATATAACTTTAAACTAAGTCTCTAAAGATTAAAAAACAATGAGAGATAACCTTTATTATTTTTTTGCTGATCCCCTTGTAAGCCACAGGACAAACATTTTGTGGAACAAATTTAAAAGTGATTTTAATTCTCCTTTTCTGTCTCCCCATATTTGACAATTGTTGGCTGAATAATCTTATCTAGTCTTTCTGTAGAAGCCAAAAAGTGTGTAATTATTAGTTTATAATACATAGTGCATATTTTTCTGGGCAAGATATTTTAAGGTATTAATTGTACTGATAGGTGCAATAATGAAGAAATGTCAATAAAGAAATTTGTCGATATATAAAATTTATCATTGTATTTTGAGTGATATAACTTAGTTAAGTGGCAAAGACTCTTGGAACAATAATAGTTCAATAAAGGAAGGCAAATTTGGACCAGAACCCAGAATCTATATAAAGAAGTTCTTTGAGCCATAGATAACAGGTTATTGTAAGGAGGTGCAGAGAACAGTCTACTTGATAGGAGTAGTGACAGGTGGAGGTGGGTGGTAATTGTGTGAAACATGAAGAAAATGTCTAAGTAGAAGAGAGCTGGAGTACATTATCCAGAATGTATTGTTAGTGTTGCTAGATGATAAGTTTATTGAAATCATCTGAGAAATTTGGAGAGCCAGGAGAATGTTATAAGGAACCTATAAATTCTATCCTGATTGCTTTTGTAATGTGTTTTTATTAAAGCAAAATGCACCAAATTCAGGGGTTTGTGGATTGGAACTGTTAGAAGGAGAAATTTTAGAACAGTGGTTCTCAAAGCATGGTGCTAGCAGTAGCATCACCTGGGAACTTGTTAGAAATAGAAAAATTTCAACCCATTCCAGTCCTCTTCAGTCAGACACTCTGGGAACGGGGCCTCAGCAATCTGTCCTTTATAAGAGGTGAATACAGTGTTACTTTAACATAGAGAACCACTGACTCACAGGAAATAACCAGATGTCTTACTAGAACATATGATCACTAATCTCATTTGTGCTTTGAGCATTCCATAACACTTACTGTTCCTCATAAGAACCCTGAGAACATACTTCTTAATGACTATTTCCAGTTTTATTTTTCTTCTTCTAACTCCAAAATAGTCATGTTTTTTTTCTCTTAGTAGATGACTTCTACTTGAAAAAAATAAATAGGAGCCATCAGGTAGAAGAGTCTTAAGATTCTTACTTACCACTCTATAAATCTTCCTATATCCATATTCATTCTTGTCTTTTCTTCCCCAGGTTATATTAGCAGACATCTCAACCTGTGCCACACTCAACCAACACTTTGACCCCTGTATTTCCAGGGAACTCTCTCATTTTTACCTTTCTCTCATCTGAAACTCCCCTACCTTCAAAATCACTCACTAAAGAACTGTACTTTGACCACAACTTTCCTAGCTCATTTGTTTACTCCCTCTATAATAGCTTTTTAATATCATACACTGTTTTCTTTGCACAGTCTTATGCCACATAGTGATATTTTGATTAATGATGGTTGATTATACAGTGGTGTCCATAAGATTATAATGAAACTGAAAAGTTCTTATCACCTAGTGATGCATACCCATTGTAATGTCATAGCGCAATGCATTACTCACATATTCATGGTGACACTGATGGAAAGAAACCTGTGCACTGCCAGTCATATGAAAGGATAGTACATACCGTAATGTATAGTACATACTACTTGATAATGATAATTAATAACTTTGTTACTGGTTATGTTTTCACTACACTACACTTTCCATCATTATTTTAGTGTATACTCCTTCTACTTTAAAAAGTTTACTGTAAAGCATTATGCTGTTACATGGACAGCAGCCTCAGACATCTCGTATTTACTGAATCTTTAGGTTGCATCAAGAGGCCGTGTCCAGGGACTGATCTCTATCATCTAGGCTTGTGTAGTACACCCTATGATGTTCACACAATTGCAAAATTGTCTAACAACACATTCTTCAGAGGACATCCCTGTCATTAAGTGACACAAGATTGTACCACCACTAAATTCCCCTTTCCTCCAGAGAGAAAGCTCACTAGCAAGGAGGGAACTGGCATTTTTTATCCATTGATTATTCTGGGGGAGAGAACACAGCCACGAGGAAGACTGAAACTACTTCCTAGGCCTGAGGTGGGTTTCACAGGACAGAATAGAGATGCTCAGTATGAGAGCTGCTCCCTATGCTGTAACGAGGTCTCTATCCAGCTAATGAGGTTAGAGAAGCTAAGAGAAGGAACTGATGATGAAAGTATAGTCTAGGTCATGGCTTTACCAATGAGACAGGAGTGGTGAGAGTTGAGAGGCAGGAATCCAACCAATACTCTGAAAGGTGTTAGGTGATAACAATAGGGTGTCTTAGAAAATCAAGAGTCTAGTGGGAAGGGTGCAGGGACCAGGCAGTAAGAGGAAATTAAATTTTGGGGCAATGATGTTTTCATTACCTCCTAGTCATTGTTTTGGTCTTATAAGCTACTGTAACATCTTAGCTCTGAAAATACGCTTTTCCTGCAGCTATACTATTCTTTAAGTAAATAAATAAATAAATAGTCAGGACACGTGACCTAACAACAAGAGCAAATACTTGAAACTAGAACTGTCTTGAAAACTCAGACTTGGTAGATTTTTCATACTATCCTATATGGATTTTCATTTATTTCTCTTTCACATGTAGCATTAGGACATCTAACCACTCTTAATTCAATATTTTCTGATGTATAACATGTGCTCTTTTCAGTTCTCCATGCATATTTCTGTAAATAGCATGTTTACCATTGCAATTTTTAATATATGAGCTGTTGTTCAAGAATAAATTCATGTATTTTCAGTCGGCATGAAAACCTATACTGGTTTCTATGCACAAGTGTTTTTACATAGAGGATGGGCTCTGAAGAGGGAGGAGAAGGGTTTTGCCTTGATGCTATATGTAAACTTTGTCAAGAAGTTACAAATATATATACTTACATTAATGTCAGGAGTCATTTAGCAAAAAGAAAAAAATGATGGTTAATATATTAGTAAACCTACAATGTCAATCAGCTTTACTTGACAAAAACAATAAAAAATTTTAGTGCAAAATAAAAGACCATTTGAAAGAATGAAGTACTTGTTCTTCCACTAAAGTAGAGCTCTAATTAGAAACATAGATCATAAATGTAAAGAATGAAGTCCCTTCTATTTTTGCTTTTTTGCACAGAATTGTTCTAAAACTGTTCAGACAGATGATTTTCCTACCACAAGTGTGTAGAAAGAGAAGCAGGTGGAGATTACACCTTAGAAAGATTTCTAAACCTCCATGAGCCTCAGTTTCTTCTGTGAAGAAATGATTTAAAACAGAAGTGGAAGAAAACTGGCTTTCAGAATCCCATTATCACTTATGTCTATTTAAAAATCATTGTCCTGTGAAAAATTGTGAGATAATCTTTAAGGGAAAACAATAAAGATATAAGCATTGTGACTGTGGAAGACAGAGTTTGAACAATGTGTAAAACTGCTACATAGTCCTCGTGGTCAGTAATTTAAGAAATAATTTCATTAATCTGATAGAGAATTTTAAATTTTGGGTTTTCTAAAATATTTCCAGATCAGATTATAAGTCCTATAAAGAGTTAAACTGCCATAGGTCTTTGAGAAATATCAGCATCTATAATAAGTAATACTGTAGTACTTACACTATGTATATGACTCAGCACTTTGAATTTTTCTAGATACATTTAAATATATTTTCCATACATCACTGAAAGCAAAAGAAAATATTCTTCCATGCATTTCTCTTCTCTCTTTCCTCTTAACCTAGTAGTCGTAGGTTCCCCAGTGCCATCGCTGTGTTGTTCACACTGGTTCCTGAGCATCCAATAACGATGATCTCAGTTGTAGACTCTCGATAAACATTTACTGGAAGACCAAAGAATGAGCTCTGCCCCCCCTGCCTCTCGTGATGTTTTCTGTGGTCAGAATCAGACTAGGAGGTGGAAACTTGTTAAAGATAAAAATCTAGAGTTATACAAGTGTTCTCAATTTCATCTTAATGATAGATATGTATGTCCAAATTTTGGGAGATATTTATCTAAAAAATTGGCAGTTAGAAACCAGTTTATGAAACTCTGGCTCTCACTTCCCCGATCATGTACATAATAGATTTGTGCAAATTTGGCATGAAAATGAAAGTTATAATTTTAAAAATATTATATAGCATAACTATGAATATTAAGGTAGAATAAAATTTACTTTTTATGAAAATTTTATTTATTTCACTCTCTCCAAGAGATATGTCAAGAATAAAGGGGTT